TGAAATATTTATATATCACAACAAGCTTGCTCAGCTGGTAGTTTTCACAAGAGATACCACAATCTTAGAAAAGTTTGAAAAACAAATGTATTTCTCCTTCTTTATTATATGTTAAGATGATTTTACAGTTTGCTTAATAAAAACAGATGAATCAAGAGCTTCATATAGGCAAAGCTGTGGAGTGTCAGCAGTGGCAGGCTTGCCCTATTTGCCCCCCCCCCCCCCCACAATACTCTTGGATTTCTGACATCATTCATGAATGAGTATCTCATTAAGATCCCTCAAAACCATCTGTTCAATGAGTCCTTACAGAAAAAAGATCACATAAACAAAAGAAGAGGTTTCCTCATTACTGCTATAACATTCATTAGGAATTTAATGATTTCTTTACTGAAAAAAAGTATTTTGAATTATACCGCCTGGTGTACTTCAAAAACACAAAGAAAGCTTGCTAAATATTTTTCTTTGCACGGTATGATTTGAAATGAATTGTGGAAAAGTTTAATATTTTACAGTGTACCCAAGTGCATAAAAAAGCAAACCAAGAATAAGTTAACAACCAGAAGCCATTCGAATGTAACATAAATTTTTATTACAAAAATTTAATCTTTGTCTTTGCAGAGCAAGAACTCATAAACAAAAGCCCTCAGCGAAACACAGCAGCAACAAAGAGCGATATGGATATAACATGCTCACACCTCTATGGCATGAGGTTAAGAGGGTAACTTGAGATCTGCATTTGCATTTGTTTCATGCTCAGTCCGGTGTTCATGCAGCTCCCGTCTCATTGTAAACAGCCAAATCCTGGTTGCCAAATGCTTTATCTAAAATCTGTCAACAGATCCATTAAGCAATGGAATTGAAATGAATTTCATCTGTGTCACATTTTGGTTACTAACTTATATTTTGGCCAAGAGTATGTCTGATCTGAACATTTCTTTAACTACAAAAGGCTGAAATAGCCTCTACACACAATTGTGTATTTGCCTTATGCTTGATGCACTTTTTATGCACTGGCTTACAAGCTAAGAAACAGCAAGGTAGCAAGTTTAACTTAGAATACTTTTTTTTACTTCACACAAATGTGACACATGTATTTACTATTGTTCTGGAGAACTAAAATAAACATAGCAGTCGTTTCTGGATTCTATTCGGAGTCTAGTGCCAGAGAAATATGCTGCTGTAAATAACTGTAGTCCACTGATCGCTGGCTGGTGTCCATGCAAAAGTTAAAGCCAATTGTTTCTGCACAGAGCAAAACCATTTCCCTTTTCATATCATCCTATATCATCACTGTTAGCTGACTTTGTTTGCAATGGCTGTCAGTGCCTATAATAGTTATCTGTGCACCATTGTGTAAACAATATTGTGGTTGGCTCTGCAATTATGCTCCTGTTTCCAGCTATGTTGAGGTCAGCGTAGTGGTGCACATTATTGGTGTGCAGCTAGTGAGTATGTTGTTTTGAACCAGACTACTAAAATATTACTGTTATATTTTAGTAACTGAAAGCAGTTAAAGGTATTATTTTACATCAAAATTTAAGTAGAGTTTTGTATGTATATACTTAATTAATTGCTGTGCATATTAGAACAAAAATGTAGATGAAAGAATTAGATTGTCAGGGGCAAAAGTCTACTTTCATATTCGATACAATTTTTGTGTTACTGTCCTTGTGTCATTTTAACAATTGAATAAAACAGGGTGGAATAATCCTTTATTCAAATCTTGGTTGATAAATGCATCATTAGCCAATAAATTAATAATAATTTGACTTCGTGTGGCAATCATTTTTGATTTCATCATTTTCTTTACTTCATATACCGCTTTCCACAGCTATTGTCAAAGGATGTGTAAAAAGCCTTATTATGAATTAATCTCTCATTGCCGCAGTATCATCTCACTTGAACATTTAGAAGAGTTAAACATTTAATTTGGGAACATTTACTCAGAGGGTCAAACCATCTGAAGCTGTGCTGCTAGTAATATTGGTAACACAACTTCTTACATCGCGAAAAACATCCATAAAAGAAAAGCAAGTGAAGGTTTTTTATCATTTATATTTAACTTGGCTGATCAGAATTTCCAGAAACTTTTGCCCTGTGAATCTTCCCAACAAGAGAAAGTTCTCTTGCCCTCTGTCAGAGAAGAGACACATCTGGAGGTCGCTAGTATGTGGAAAAAGTTCTTGAGGATAAAGTGTAAATAATGCGGAGGGTTTATGATGCTGTTGGGTAATGTTTTTCACAAGGCCCTCAGAACCTTGTTGGAGTGCGTAGCATCATCATCTCTTGAAGATTTTCAAATGACGCAAGAAAACTAAAAATGGATAATCACTGTCTCTGTCAACAGCCTGATAATTCAGGATGTAATCAAATAAACACAGGAATAGTTCAACACACACACATTCTACCTTCTTCAATGGCTGTCTCAATACTCCATTTGAAAATGCAGAGGATCTCAGATAACCATCATTTTTGTGGTTATTAATAAAATAAGTGCAATACTTCCCATTCATTGTATCAAATTGAGCATCAAAGACAAAATAACATGTAGATGTATAAAATATTTACATACTACAACCACATGAGAAATCACAAAGGGCATTGTATTCCGAACACTCTGTGGGTCTCACACAGTTGGGGGCTCTGGGTAATCAGTGCATCCATTCACTCAGAGACAACATCTAGAATAATGCATGTGTCTGGTCTATTGTGTGCGTGCCTTGTCATTTTTAACTGAACGCAAAACCCTTCAGCATATGCTTCTTATGCCCTGACTGTGAGCTTTCTTTCTTCTGTGGCCAAGTAATCAGGTTGCTCAGATAAAGAATGTTGATCCTGTTATGATCCCTGTGTCTAAGTTCAGTTTCAATCTTGTCAATTCAGGATTTATTTTTAGTGTGCAAAAGTTTTTGCTTGCTAAATAGGAGCCCGTTCCACTGTAACACTATAATTAAAATGTTAGCTTTAAACCAGTTCAACAGGATGAGGAGAATGCAAATATTAAACTTCCACCAAATTTCCATTTTGCGAGCATAGGCCAAAAAGAAGGATTTTTTAGAACTATACTGCCCCTCAGTGGAAGATAAGAGTTCAAATGAGCAGACTAATAACTAATGCAATGAACTGTGTGTGACCTCAAAGTCATTTATGTTAGTTTGGACCTCCAGAGGTTCCTGTCCATGCTGGGTTAAATACCTGCATGATTTCAGAAAACAAATTCATTCACCAGATTATGTTATTTAAGGAAGATCTTTTTGAACTGCTTTAGTGTTTTAACATAAAAATGAATGTCCTTGTAGGTGCTAAAAATGTAGGGTACGTCTATCGGTTATTCTTTATCTTGCTGTGCTAAATCAGTGAGGGAAAGTTTTCAATTAGGTTAAAAAATACAAATTATTATAATTGATAAGCCGAGTCATAATTTTGAAGTGGTTTAAAATATAAATCTATCCAGTTAAGATGTTTGACCCCTTAACCATTATATTATTATTGACCCAGTATTGATTTTATGCACTCATTCTAATTGTGCTTTCCAGCATGTTGCAATTCGTGGCTGCCTTTCTCAAATATTTGATATCCATATGTACCCCGCTGACAGAAATTAAAATGTATTTCTACATACCATATGTAAACAGATAACACAAAAACTTGCATTTGTGTGTCACCATACAATCACGGTCAGAATTAGTGTCGATATCAAAGGAATATAGCCAGAAGTCAAAATCAGAGATCAGGATTTCAAGATGTAATACCCAGAACAATATTTATATCTTCATACTAAATATTCATGAATCAGTTCTTCCCAGTAAAAGCTGAGATTTTATATACCATTCTCATAATTACTATTTCAGCTATCTCAAACCATGCATTATTATGTTCTTTCTATCTATGCTGTGGCTTGTTGGGATTAAATTCTTACTTGAAGAAATTCCTAATTTAGATATAATGAGATATTAATTAGAGATAGTTTCGCTTTTGGTTAAATGTCAAATAGACTTGTCATTCTTACTATAATTACTTATTACTAAAGCAGACTGGTCAGAACTTCCTCCATTTTAAGGAAGGAAAGAATAAAGTAAAATTGCTTAGCCCCAAAACCCTAAACACATAGATTTGGTACAAACCAAAGAGCAGGTTACTGGGCTGTCAGAATTTTACCATCCAATAAGTCATTTAATGAATCGGTCTATATTTCCCACGACCTTGATCTTACTTGGTAGGTCAAAAAATTTGTGATTTGACAAATAAATATCTGAGCAAACAATTATCACATATGGGGTTCCTAAAGGCTGTCTTCTTGTACCCCATTTATTTAATATCTTCATGCTCCCAAGACCTCAAATGATGAGTTGTACATGTGTAAGCCGCCTATGACACACAATTTATAACCTATCTGTGTAACCATATAACCACACTCCATTACAGTGACTTAGTGAGTGAAAACTTGTTATTTATTAAGTCATTCTGACTCGATAAAGAAAAGATGAATGTCCTTGTATTTGGTTCAGAATTGCACACTCCTCTACTTTGGAGTCAACTTCCTTAAAACCTCAGAAGTTCACAAACATTTGGGTCCTTTTAAACAACTAATATACTTATTGAGTATTTCATCTTCCTGGTTATGGTAATTATTTTATTTCTTAATTATATGTTAGCTTTTTTTATTTTTATTTATTTATTTATTTATTTTTTGCTTTGTTTTTTTTTTTAAGTAATGCATGTTATTGCTATAATTTTAGTGTTACTCTTTTGACGTATTTCTCGTTTCAATGTGCATTGTTTCTTTATTTTACTGGAAGGCAATTTAACTTGAGAATAAATGGTACCAATCAGCCGGGGCTCTCGCCTCCGTTGCTGCAGCCAATCAAAACCATGCTGACATTTCAAAGCAGGTGCATTCTGGTACTCGTAGTTCTTCGTCGGCTTGAAGTCAGCCAAGCGCCTTGCGCTCGCTTCTGTGTCGGACTACAGAGCTCCTGGTTCTGGATAGAGGCGGCTCGTGTTGACGGCTGCTAAACTCCACGAACTACGGTGGTACACACATCGTCCGTCTTTTTCCTTGTATTAATTTATTAAGGTTTTAGCGCTTCTCAGAAGTTGACAGTCGCGGCGATGCAGTCTGAATCGGGAATAGTTCCAGACTTCGAGGCTGGGGAGGACCTCCAGGACGAGCCGAAAACATACTACGAGTTGAAGAGTCAGCCCCTGAAAAACAGGTCAGTTCTGCGCGCTTCTGTGCGAGTGTGGACAGTTATTTACAAGACTGCAGCGGCTTTTGGAGTTGAAGTGATAATTAGGCTGCTGACTTTTTCTGAGCGCTACCCCGAAGGCTGGTCATGATGTTGGTGAGGCTTCTGCAGGGATGAATCCAGAGCTATTCCCAACACTGACCTCTGCAGCTGGACTCAGTCCGTTTGGTTATCCTGCTGGCATGAAGTCAGTTATGCAAGACTTGGGTGTTGTCTTGTCAATATCAACTTCAAATATTAGTTCACAGAAGTGCAGACAGGTCCCGGTTTTTTTTTTGTTTGAGTGTGTGTGTGTGTGTGAGAGAGATGCTGTTCAGCCTTACTCATGGATGGTTGATACTCTTCAAACAAAATGGGGAGTGGTGTTTTATTATTGAGTCATTTGAAAAGAGAGTTGCATGTTGAGTGTTGCTTCTTCGCACCTTTATATCGCCATGTTAAATCTTTATGATGTTTAATGAGGGCAATACTTCCAGAACTTGTCATATAAATTATAAATGTCATAAAAAGTTAATACACGTCAAGAATTATATTCAAAAAGTGTGATGTATTTGAAGCATCCAGTTCTCCTGATTATAATTATGATTTACATCTAAGGAAAACTACAAAATCTGTTTATTTTTATTTATTTTTGTTTTAGAAAATGTCAGTATTAAAAAAAATATTACTGAACTGCATGTTGTGAACTGTGCAACATTTGGAGTATCTTCTGCAGGGCTGTATAAATGTGTCCTGAGTACTTTTATGTCTTAAGCAACTGACTCCATTTCAAGTCATGTTTTGCATATTTCCTTCAAGCTCTTGAATGATTTTATCCACTACATCACAGAACTGCAACTGTCCCTGATGCGTGTGCACCTTTTTCTACGACATGTTTTCCTTCCACTTAACTTTTCATTATTTTGCTTGCACACAGTGTGAAACAACCAACAATGATCTTTTGTGGCTTTCCCTACTGGTGGAGGTTGTCAGAGAACGTTTGCTGTCAAGTCTGCTGTTTTCCAAATGACTTATTATAGATTTACACCATAATCAGAATGTCTAACTGAAAAATAAATAAATAAAACATCTCCCTCTGTTTAAAATAAACCGATATACCTGACTTTCAGGTTTTAGTAGAAATCATTGGAATGAAAACTCCCAAGCTGTGCAAGAAATCCAATTTGTATCCAGGGATACAAACTTCAGAGTTATTTCTAATTAGTCCCGTTCATTTCAATACAATCAAGTTATCTAGATTGATTCAAAACAAACTCTAAGTCAATCATAATTGAAATAGATTACAGTGAGTTGATAATGACTAATACATTGGTAAAAAGTTGTCTTTCTGAAGCCTTGATAACATAACAGCTGAGTTATGTTTAATGGTACTTTTACTATTCCTGTTTCTTAAACATTTCTGCTTTTGATTTGTTTGGCAGTCTCTGATACTTATTTCCCCAGAAATTGCTTTTCAAATCTTATAAATATAATAAATTTGCCATTTAAACAACAACATAAAGCAGATATTATTCGACTTTTATCGGCTCATACCAACAGTTTTCATAGCTCGTAACAATTATAACAAATAAATGCTTTATGAATCATTTTAAATGCAATTACTCAGCCCACAGTTTTGGGAATCCCAGATGTAATAGGTGGAGTGATGTAACCTATTTGCGTAAAGCCAAGTTTTATTTTTAGAGCAGTTTTTCTGGCGCTCTAGGCTGTATGCTGACGGCATCTGCTGCTTTCTATGCAAGGCATGCAAAGATTGAAAAAAGTTATGGTTTTAAAACCAGCAAAACTAAAACATTATATTGTTCCTTCTTTTCAAACTTAAAAAAAAATTGCCAGAGAAAATGAGTTAGGAGAGTTTTATCAGTTACTCTGTTTGTAACTGAACTAAAATGTTTCACTTTGTGATAAATGTAAAAAAAAATCAATATCCTTATTGAATATGACTTTGTAATCACTGGGCTTTGTGTTTATTGTGGGTTGTATGCATGCAATGGAACATTAAGTGGAAGGAAAAAGGTACATAAACAACCAGGCTAACCAAAGCCTTAAGAGGTTTGTGACTCTGATAATATACTGTGTCATTTTAAAAACAGGAAGGATATTTGTCATGTCTATGTTTTAAGGAGAAAAACAAAAGGTTTGGAATATTTGTCAATGTATAACTGTGGAATTTGTTTTTCCAACCTTTTTTAGAGTTTCCCCTAGAAAACTTTAATCCAGTGGTAGAGATGCTAGGGCACTTTACCAATGACCCACCATGTTTTTGTGTTAAAAGATTTTAGAATAAAAAAAAATAAAAAATTAAATATGACTAGGTAATTATGCATAATTGGAAGACATTACTGATAACATTGAAACACCAACTATAAAGTCTTAAAGAAGGCAAATACAAAAAATACAATCAAAATATAAATGTTAAACAAGATATATTATACGAGCCACATTTAAAAGTGAAATAAATTAAAATTATTATGATGAGTAAGCATATTCTTATGCTTAACTAAATATTCTTGGGCTACAAAATTCAAGTATTGATTGTAATAACTTTTCTTTGTTTAGAAATGTCTACGGCTTGATTCAATATTTCGATTTCCTGGTTGTGATTGGTCAGTTTTTCTCAAAGCCAATGCAGTGTTTGCAAGGAATTCTCTGATTGGATGATAAAGACCTGTTCATAATTCAATGGTTGTGTGGCTCATTTAGCTGCAAGTGCAGACACACCGTCATACACTGTTGGGAAGGACTACCCAACAAGGCTTATCATAAAACACTGGGGAAAAGCCTGGCTATAATACTGAGAGAATCTGACCATTCCCCAGCATGGATTGATAGAAGTGTTGCATAAAGGGCTGCATTGAATTGCAATTATATTTACCTTACTTTGAATTTTACAAAAGTGCTTGCTGTCTTTTAAATAAAAACATACCATTCTACAGAACACAGTATTTTCCCAGTTCAGAGTATTAATGTAAGATGTCTCTGCTGACTCAGGGCTGATGTGTGGTTGGATTTCACCTCTCACCTTTTTTTCCTCCCTTGTTCACTGTGAAAATGATTCCTGATAGCCGTCTGTTTGTGTCTAACATTTAAGTGGTAATAATGTAATGCATTCCATGGTTATTTATCCCCAGGGGTTCCATAATTACCAGAATGTTTGTTTAATACTTTTGAAAATGGCATCTAAATGGAAGCAAATCGATACAACCCCGATAAGCCTCTGTGACGAATGAAGCAAAAGTCAGAAGATCACCACAGTATGAATTAACTCACTGTTCCTTTTTTTTTCTTAAGCAACACTGTCAAAGAATAGATGAAATAAAAAAAACAAAAAAAACTGACATGTTCACTTGACAGTGATTTGTTGAATCCTCATGCTGAACAAGCTGTGAAACATTTTGACCTCAGTTAGGAAATGTTTGCTAAAGTTAGATAAGAAGGGACCTATTGCTAAGGCATGGTCTGAAAATGTGGTTCTTCTCTCGGTGATTTTAATACATAATGAAACGCTTATGAGATGTACTGTGACGAATGCATTCATTTGTCTCGTGTCTTATGTGAACACAAGTTGTAAACCTGGGCTCATTTATTTTCAGTGAATCACAATCAGACTGAATAGATTTTTGTTTTTACTTCCCTTGCTGCAGATTTGCACTTCGGCTTCTTGTTTTTAACTATAAGAGTGGAAAACACCATCTCGGACAGTCCCAACCCTTAACCCAGTTCAGCATTTTTTAAACTAATTCCTTCAATTTCTTCATTAGTGAAATGTCATTACACTGTTCCACACACGTGGCTGAGTCTGAGCTGTGTTGCTGCAGGCAGGGTTGTCGCATTGGCAAATCCCAGTCGAATTATCTGGACGGCATTGTTTCAGAAATACGTGAAGCTGCCTGAAGCATTGTTTCAAATGAAGGTGTCCCACTTCCTCTTCCCATCACATGAATATGACCCAGCACAATAATAGTCATGATGACAGTGATGTGTTATTGCGCACTCTGGATATTATTAGACTCATCAATGTCTTCTAACAGCTGGCTCAGCCGTTTCTTAAATTAGCAATCTTGAGAGCGACAAAATGTCCTCTCAAATTTCACAGATTTCTTTGTTTTCCTGCTATCTTCAGATCAGTTTGACAGAGTGTGCATGCTGCCATACACCATGTGTGAGACTTTTTGTGCCTATATATAGATGTGATGAAGGCATTATGCTAGTCGTCTATGCAGTGTAAATAAACTCTGCATGTTTAGCACTTGGGAAGTGTTACATCTACATGGAGTTTTTTTTCACACAGAATCTTACTGAAAATAAAAGTTTAAAAGCTTCACCTCTTCTTTATGCTACATTATTTAACATGGGACACAGTATCACTATGCATTCAGACCATCTATGGGCTTGAAAGACTTGCTCAGAAGGGTATTTGCTGAACATACTGGAAACCTAGGCCACTGTTTTTTTTTTTTTTGTTTTTTTTTTTTTGTCGTCGACATTTTTGGTTCCTTGTAAAAGCATAACCTTCTGTATTTTATTGGGCATTTCTGAAATAGACCAACAAAACTTTGTCCACAATTGTAAAATACAAGGAGATTTGTTTGTGGTTTTCAAAGACTTTTACAAATTAAACATGAAGACCACAGTGTGCATTCATTGTCAACCAAATATAGATTTATGCTCAGGTCCATCTTGCAAAAGAGATCTAGAACTCAATAGGGTTTTGCCTGGTTAAATAACGGAAAGAAAATAAAATACACCAACAACCATGTGCCTTCAAAAACACCTGATTTGTAAATAGAGTCCATGTGTGTATTTGATTCTCGATCTAAATCTAACTGTTCTATGATGAATTAAAATCTGGTCTAGGCTTAAAACAATATCCCAAGCTTTAAACATGTCATGGATGAATATTTAATCCATTATCTGAAGTAAATAAAATTTTTGAGCGCGGCCACATGACCTTTGTGAATAATAAC